AAATGTTGTGGTGTCTCTGAGCAAAACACCTAATCCCTAATTGCTCCCTGGGCGCTTGCATAGCTGCCCACTGCTCCACCTGGGTGTATCTCATGCGTGATGGGTTAAATGCAGAGAACTAATTTTGCCATTGTATGGGCACATACAATGATGACAATCTCAGACTTCCCTTCCCGTCATACACCGGTGGGACACACATCAGAGGCAATGAGAGGTTCAGTGTCTTGCCCAGGGACACGTCAGCATGTGACTGCTGGTAGAATCAAACCCCCAACTTTCCATTTGGAGGAGGACTGCTCTAACCACTCAGTCACAGCCGCCCCAACTTAATAAAAGTAAAGGCCTAGCCTTCCTTAAAGGAATGCATTAAACCAACCCACCAGAGATTTGGACTAAGCTGTCTACAATCTTTGTTGAGAAAAAAACAAAAAGAAAACAGAGTTAAAGCTGTTTTTGTCAAACCTTGAGAAGTTATACTATTTTATATAACATAAAATTAAAGTACAAGCAGCTCTCTGTCTGTTGCTTATATCTAACAATTGGTAAGGATAATTTTTAACAGCACCTTGCTTTATATTAGGCACAGTGTAGACAATTTAGCTGCCATAAAACAGATAATAAGTTTGCTAAAAATATATGGTTTAACACAGAGGTGAATAGCATACACAGTTTTAGCTCAATTTTTGTAAAATTGACTAAATATAAGCCATTTTTGTGTTTTTTAAGGTCACTTGACTGTGGTGGCCATCTTGAACCAGGTTGACTCCAAAAATAATCTATTTAAGATGTACAACCAAGAATTTTGTTTCATGGAAATTTTATTAAAATCTGTCAAGTGGTTTATAAGCTATTTTGCTAACAGACCAACAGAGAGACAGACACAGGCAAAAGCATTATTGCCCTCTTTTGTCTTTGGTTGTAGTCAACAAAAAAGTGAGTATTGGGTGAATAATGAATGAACTTCCTCCTTATTTCTTAAGGCTGGCCGCTCATATCATCACAGTCTGTGTAACCCATATCTTTAACCTGTCCATAAGCCAAAACTCCATTCCAGATGCTTGGAAAACAGCCTTTGTTCTTCCTTTACTGAAGGGAGGTGACCCCACCTCACTGAACAACTATCGGCCAATCTCTAAACTCTGCATTTTATCCAAGGTTCTAGAAAAACTGATAAACTCTCAAATAAAAAAATTACCTGGACTCATTTAACATCTTACCTCGCCATCAATCTGGTTTTAGGAAACAACACATCACAACCACTGCTTCACTGAAGGTTCTTAATGACGTTGTTGAAGCATTGGATGCTAAGGATTATTGTGCTGCACTTTTCTTAGACCTGTCTAAAGATTTTGACACTGTGGATCATAACATGTTGTGTCATAAGCTCTCAGAAATTGGTTTCTCAGATCACACCATTGGTTGGTTCTCTAACTATCTCTCAGATCAGAGGCAATGTGTTCAACATAATGGTACTTCCTCCAGTTATTTAAGATTCAACAATATGTACCACAAGGCTCAGCCTTAGGACCCACCCTCTTTACAATCTACATAGGTAATGTAGGTCAGAGCATCCCTGATGCATCCATACATTTCTATGCTGATGAAACAGTTGTTTATTGTCGAGCTAAAACAGTTGATAAGGCTTTCCAGCTTTTGCAATCCGCATTTGACATCATCCAGTCAGATTTGTTCTGCTTCAAGCTTGTCTTAAATACTGATACAACCAAAGGGATGCTTTTTTCAAACAGGAAGTCGGTCCCAGCAGTTCTTCCTCCGATTTTATCCTCAAATGGTGTCCCCATTGAGTTTGTTGATTCCTATAAATATTTGGGTATCTTGGTCGACTCTCAGCTCTCTTTTAAGCTCCATATGGAAAACCTAGTAAAGAAACTGAAAGTTAAACTGGGTTTCTTTTTCAGAAATAGATCCTGTTTAACTGAATGCTAGAAAACGCCTTGTATCTGTGACTTTCCTTCCCTCCATTGACTACGGTGACATTATTTACATGAACGCTCCTACAAGAACCCTGCAGATGTTGGATGCTGTCTATCATGGTGCACTAAGATTCATAACTGGCTGTGATTATCGTACCCACCACTGCACCCTGTATTCACTGGTTAACTGGTCACCATTAACTTCACGCAGACTCTCTCACTGGTACATTTTCATCTTTAAATCACTTCTTGGTCTGTTGCCTTTGTACATCTCCTCCTACATGCCTCTGCGTGAGTGCAGCTACAGTGTGCACTCTCAGGGCATTATTACCTGCAGTGTTCCCTCAGTGAGGACTGAGCTTGGCAAAAGGGCCTTCTCCTACTCTGCTCCTGTTTCCTGGAATATCTTGCGAAAAGACCTGAAGCTCTCGATCTTGTCCTCTCCAAGTGGCTTTAAAAATCTGTTGGACTCCTGGCAAGGACCGATGCAGACATGTTCCTGTTTTTAGTTTTCTACATTCGCCTTATAATCTAGCTGTTTTTGTTACTTTTTTTTGCCATCTTATTTGCATATATATAAAAAAACCTGTATGTCTTTTTTTAACTGTCTATTGTTGGCCTTGTCCATTGTTGTCATCATTCTTTGTTAAAATCAGGTCTGTCTTGTAAGTGAGTCCTCAAGGCTCAATAATTACTAATTATTGTCAAATTTTAAACAATATTATCGTTTATCGCAATAATTTCTGAGACAATTAATTGCCCAGCAAAATTTGTTATCGAGACAGGCCTACGAGCCACATAAATAAACTTTTTAATTGAGGTAGGAATGATTGAACCCAGCTCCCTCCTGTCACATCAGGAATGGGTAGAAAGCCAGCGGTGAACTAATCATGGCCCCAGAGATCAGGGCTGAGTCTGGAATTACAAAGTCTGTTCTCTTGTTACCATTAGCCATGCTCAGTTTCCTCATACACAGCCAGTTATTGTCATGGCAGCAGCATCAGGCTGGGGACACTGGGCCTGTTATTGTGACACTGGTTTCTACACAGTGGACACACATGGGAGGGCCTGAACACTCAAACCTGTTTCATTCTGCACTTTTTATCTGAGGACATTTGTACTGAATTGGTCTATTTACACCAATTTCCTGCAGTCAGTTGACCATCAGGAGGAGGGGATGGATTGTATCTGGTTCATTTGAGCTGCGTGTTTGTGGATGTGGTGATAAATATAAAAATGTACTTTAGACTTATACTTGGGGACAGCTGTGGCTGAGTGGTTAGAGCAGTCTTCCTCCAATGAGAGAGTTGGGGGTTCAATTCCACCAGCAGTCACATGTTTAAGTGTCCCTGGGCAAGACACTGAATCCCTCATTGCCTCTGATGTGTGTCCCATCACCCATATCCTGAGGATAATAAACTAAAGGAACCCTTAGTTTTCTGGTATTCTTTGTTAAATGTGTAATATTCAGTTCAGTGTTTCAGTCCTGCTTCATCTTGTCCATGTTTTAATAAAATATGACTTACCACTTTGAATTAAATCTCCAGGTTTTAAAAAATCTTCTCTGATTAAACTCCTATTTTTGAGTGGAGACTTGCGTGTCACTTGAAGCCAAGAGTTCGCTCAGATATTTTGAAGTGTGGGTTCTGTGGAAATGTTCGAAACGATTAATCTTGTTGTAGATAGCTCTTTGAATGGCCTCAGTTTGGATGAATCGTTAATCCTCCCTGGATTGATGAGCTGATGGCTATTTTGCCAGCCAAAATGTCTTGCTGTCATCTTAAAACTACTCAAATCTCCTAACATTTCATAGCAGGTTACACAAATGTCATTTTATATAAGCTTTTTATATTTTGCCAGTTTTTCAGTACAATCATTCAATCAAAAATATGATCTTATTCATTCTAAAAGTGCCCTAGGCTGCACCAGATGTGCTCCAGCTAACTGCTGCTATTCACTCTTACAAATAACCACAGTATTCTATGAACACAACTGAGTGATGCAAAATTAATGTACGTGCAAAGGTTCCTAAAATAGCATTTGCGAGAGCTTCTGTAAAACTTTTTGAGATTTTAGCTATTTTTTAATTGAGCACAAATTTGCTTTGTTCTTGCGCTGCTCAGACTAGCTGTTAACCTGCCAGTCTGGTGAGAAGTGGGCCTGTCACGATAAACAATAAATCAATTAATCGCATGATAAATAAAAATTATTGACCTCATTTTCATTTAGCGGCTTTATTGTTTCTTCTTGTCTCTCAATACTGAAGACACTGGATGACAAAAAGCTCAACTCCGGTGTTTTTCACTGACTCCTCCCTTTCTCTTTTCTCTTTAACATCTGTTTTAATCGTCCAAAATCGCATTTTTGGATCGTTAAAAGCAGCTAAGCTGAGAAGCTAAGCTACGAGCTAAGCTAACAGGCCGACCTCAGGGAAGAAACCTCCGTCTTGTCGAAGCTCCAAAATTCACAAATTCATTTTTACTGATTTTTTAAATTAAAAGCTTTGTGTGAAAAATGCTATGCTAAAGAGCTCAAACCACACCAGCGTCCACCATTTTGAGAACCAAAAAAAGGAAGGAGAGACCGCCCATGTCACGTCAAGGGGTCTCCCTCCCATTTTTCTTAAATAGACACGCTGCTCGCTCCCTCACTATCCATCCTTCAGTTCAAACAGTCTTATACTGCCACCAGGTGGTCAAAAAAGGTACTACACTCAAAACAAATTAACCAACATTTCTTCTTAAGTTTGACAATAATTACTAATTATTGTAAAATTTCAAACAATATTATCGTTTATCGCAATCATTTCTGAGACAATTAATCGCCCAGCAAAATTTGTTATTGTGACAGGCCTAGTGAGAATTAAACTTCTCTGAACTGAGGTTGTTCATTGAATTATCTACAACAGGTACAATATTATTTATTCATTTTCCACAAAATCCCTCTTTTAAAGGTGTAAACTGTTTCTACAAGACAACACCCCAAATGTCTATGAATAAATTAGTACCAGAGGCTTTTATTAAAATTGTACAGACAAATTGATTTGAACCAGATTTTGTTTTGTAGGTCGTGAAGATCCTTGAGAAGCATGATCCCTTGCGCAGCAGCTTCCCCCTGTCCTCTCCGAGTGTTATCAACCTGAGCGGTGGCAGCCATCGCTTCGGCCCGATCCCCGGAGACGAGGCGAGTGCCGTGCAGAACTACGTAGAGCACATGCTTTTCCTGCTAATGGAGGAGGAAAGTGGCCAGGCTGGAGCCATGGGTCCCATCCTGGAGTTTGTGCTGATGGAGAACGTGATGGAGCGACTCTTTGTGTGGAGCCTGCGCAGGGAGTTCACGGATGACATGAAACTGGAGCAGCTGAAGATGTACGAGATGTTGGTGGGCCAGGCTCGCCAGCCGTTGCTGCATCACAAGCCCATCCTGCGGCCGCTCATGATGCTGCTGTCCTCCTGCTCGGGCACAGCGATGCCTGCGGTCGAAGACGAACTGGTGCTGCTTCTTAACCAGCTTTGCTGTGTGCTGGCGAAGGACCCCTCGATTCTGGAGCTGTTTTTCCACACAAGCGAGGATCAAGGGGCCACAAACTTCCTCATCTTCTCCCTACTCATCCCTTACATTCACAGGGAGGGGACTGTGGGCCAGCAAGCGAGAGATGCCCTGCTGCTAATCATGTCATTGTCTGCTGAGAACGAACGAGTGGCCAGACACATTGTAGAGAACACCTTCTTCTGCCCGGTGAGTCATTCATTTGAGGGAATTACTTTTCCTCTCATGATGCCATAACATCATTTTTTATAATTCTGTGTACAAAAGAAAATGTTTTATCCCTCTCAGTCAACATTATTACTATTATCCTACAACATGTGTGAAACCCTGAGTGTCACAATTAGTCCAAGATGTGAAGATTATTCCATAAAACCTACTAAAAAAGGTTAGAATGTGGCTCTGAATGATACAAATGGCTGTCATTTTTAAGATTATAGCTTTGCTAAGAGCTGATTTGTTATAAATAATGTTTATGTGCAGCTGCAGGGAGTGCAGAGGAAAATAAAAATAGTTTTGATGCAATGCCAGTATAATAACAGTATGATTTTTTTTTGTTCAGAATAAATCCAGAGGCCACAAAGGGAGGAAGCCCCTGTTGTTTCAAATCCTACCTTGTAAATACTAAAAAGTCCTTAATGAAGAAAAAGTTTCTCATTGTGTTGAGAATGCTGAACATATAAATTCAAGAATTATGTTCTTGTAGGATTCTGTCACATTTTATCTTTTTGTAGTCCACTTTGAACTGTGCTATATAGTACAAACTAAGTATTGAACTAGGGCAGCACGGTGGCACAACTGGTAGAGCTGCTGCCTCTCAGCGAGCAGGTCCTTGGTTCAAACCCCGGTCCGGGGGCCTTTCTGGGTGGAGTTTGCATGTTCTCTCCGTGCATGCGTGGGTTTTCTCCAGGTGCTCCGGTTTCCTTCCACAGACCAAAAACATGCATGTTAGGCTGATTGGTAACTCTAAATTGTCCCTAGGTGTGAGTGAGTAAGTGAATGGTTGTTTGTCTCGTTTGTCTCTATGTGGCCCTGTGATGGACTTGCGACCCGTCCAGGGTGTACCCCGCCCCTCGCACAGTGATTGTCGGACATGGGCACCGGCGACCCCCGTGACCCAAAATGGAATAAGCGGATAAAGATAATGGATGGATGGAAGTATTGAACTAAATCCATAGTAATATCATTTAAGTTTAAAAACAATGTCTATGTGATAAAAGTGGAATAAATATCCAACGGGTTATTTTGATGTTGAGTTTTATATTTGAAAAGCTTTAACCTTTTTTATTTTTGGTATTTAGAAACGTTCCGTTTCATTTTATGTGTGAAGCAAATTAAATTCTGAGTTGGTTAAACAAAAGTGTAAAGTCATAATTCCCTGGTAAGTGGAGTTACCGCCATTATATTAAAAATAAACAGTAAGTTGTTTCTCCTGTAAGCTGTTAGTACAGTTATTATTAAAGTAACGTTCCCAGGGCCCCGACCAATGTACTACATTTCGATATAACCTAATGGTTAGCTACGTGGTACGGACGCTACATTTCCATTATTCAAAAAGTATACAGGTGGCATAAGTCTATGTGTATGCTGTGCTATAATCTGTTGCAGCTCTGTGATTATTTGCAGTTTGGTTTATGAGTCAAATACAAACGAGTTAACGGCCTTATTAAAGTAAAAAAAACCTGGTAACGTCTGTTTATCTTCTTCCGTTAATTCAGTGCTGAGAAACGTTTAATGGTCTACAAGCATAAAAATTATAATAAAAAACAAGATTGGGTTATTAGGATTTATGGGCAATGTAAACAATAGCGCCACTTTTAATGATGCACAGCGTAAAATTATTATTTTTTTGGTGGGACTTTCAAGAATGGCTTTTAATTTCTACTAAATAAATGTTCACTTATTGACAAAAACGTTCCACAGCACCAAAAGCAGATTATTTAAAGCTAGGCAGGATTTTGTCTCTGGGGCTAAATGCTAACCTTAGTAAAACGTCATGCATGTAGCATGTTGATATTTAACAAGTTTTTTAATTCAAATAGCGTGATGCTAATGTTTAGCTCTAAACTCTAATGACGTTGATGAGAGAAATGTTTGAAGTATCTGAACACAAATCACAAATTGACCAACTCTAAAGAACAAAAAAACAACTTTATAAAATATAATTTTCTTGAGTGGATTTTTTTGGCTCAGATTTTTAAAACTTTTCTCTAAGAACCAAAACTGTGAAGTTTAAGTTACATAATGTGCCGTCTGACCAACGAACATCACAGTGAAGCTAAGAAAAGTTCCAGAGCAGTTCACGATCTGGGCTTTAGGATCTTATTGCGATGCTTCCTCTCCTCAGGTGCTGGCCACAGGACTGAGTGGCCTGTACTCATCTCTTCCCACTAAGCTGGAGGTTCCCAGTGAAGAGTGGCATTGCCTTCACAAGGAGGACTGGCTGCGGATGCCGTCCCTTGTCCAGTTTCTAAACTCGCTGGAATTCTGCAATGCTGTCATTCAGGTGAGGATGTGTGGAGACTGAAGGACAACGATGGATGTAATCGCCAAGGTTCATCCGACCCTTTTGAACTCCAGCTGCATCTCTGCCTGACTTCACTGACTTGTCTCTGTGATGCTGATTGTTCCCAGGTGGCTCATCCTTCCATCAAGGACCAGTTGGTGGCTTACATTTATAATGGTTTTCTTGTGCCTGTCCTTGCACCAGCTCTGCACAAGGTTGGACTCCATTTCTTTTATTTTTTTATTCACCTTTTTTTATTAAAGAGAACATGTGAATAAGGACATTGTTCATAAAGTACATGAGTTATCTTGGAAAGTGTTTTAGCTTGTTGCTACAAATGATATGATTTAATGTCAAAGTGTATTCCCCCAAAACTCAGAATTTACCTCGCTTGGCCTCTACTATCCAAGTGTAAGTTTGTTTTCAGTGATGAAGGAGCATTTGTATTGGTGCCATAACACATTGAGTTGAAAAATTAGATGTTCTGTGGCTTGACTGATGCTTCCTGTCTGTGAAGCTCACTTTAGAGGAGGTGATGACCACCACAGCATACCTTGACCTCTTCTTGAGGAGTGTCTCTGAGCCGACCCTGCTGCAGACTTTCCTCTCCTTCATCTTCCTCCACCAGCACGAGAACGTTTATATTTTAGACACATTGGTCAGCCGCATTAACACCCCTTTCCAGGTAATATTGAATCCACTGACACAAACAAACTCCCATTATACCATACCATTTATTATTTATTATAGGTTAAATACAGTAATTTCCGGACTATTGAGCGCACCTGAGTACAAAAAGACATTACAAAGAAACATTTTTTTAAAACTTTTAATTAAATATGTACCGGTAACGTACACCAATACGTGCAGTAAAAAAAAATCTGAACAGTGCCTGTAACACGGCTGGTTAAAATAAAATGAAAAACAGTAGCCTACCAGGAAGTCACTGATCGCTATCTTCACCTTCCTCATGCGCACAGAGCTTGTGCTGTTCTCTTCTTCATACTTATCTCCTCCCTGGGGGCACAACAGGAAGGAGAGAATGGGAAGGGGGGTTGGACGAAGTGGACCATCCATCCATCCGTCCAGCCATCCATCTGTCCATCCATCCATCCATCCATCCATTATTTTTACCCGCGTCACCAATGAAACCAAGATTCATTGGTCCACTGTGACCCGTTTGGTAATTTCATTGGTCAGATTTTATTTTATTTTTTACCTTTATTTATACAGGTAGTCTCATTGAGTCACAAGGACCCACCCCCCAAGAGAGGTGTATAGAGAGGTGTATATTGGGCAGCTGTGTGAGCATCTGGGTGTGACGAGGCTAAATGTTTTGGTGGCATGAAGCTCGCTAGCCCATCAAAAAAAATCCATAATTTAGCCGCAGCATTGTATAAGCCGCGGTGGTCAAATCGTGTGGAAAAAGTAGCGGCTTATAGTCCGGAAATTACGGTAATTTAAAAAGTCTATAAGTTATGAAAACCAATATTCATAGCACCTAGCTCCTGGATGAGCTGAAGTTTTTGGCTAAAATAGCACAGAGTATACAGAAGTGGTTGGATATAAAAAAATAACAAAAGTCAATTCTGACTTAGCACTCACACAATACAGTAAAAAGCTGCCTGTTGATGAAAGTTTACTCATTCAGTAATTTTTTTTTTCTTTGCATTCTCTTTAAGCAAATTGTTTTTTGTCTTTCCATCAAATATCCCAGTTGGGCACAGTGTCTCTGGCACTTTTTCGCACTCTCATCAGCTTCTACTGTGAAGATGTGATGCTGCAGCTCATACTGAAGTGAGTGGCACTTGTGCAGACTTGCACGTTATTAAGAAAGACATGATTTGGTTTATGACACAGAGTCTTTGTTCTCTACCTCCCATTGCCATGATCTGTCTGCTTACTCCCCTTCTGCCATCACTCTCCTACAACCACCCACTGGTTCTCCTGACACACCTTTCCATCTGCCCCTGCAGGTACCTGATCCCCTGCAATCACATGATGTTGAGTCAGAGACGTGTGGTGAGGGAGAGGGACTTCTATTCGGCATCAGCAGCCAAGATTCTGGATCTGACGCCGTCCTGCTGCAGTCCTGATCGCAGCCCCCCGCCCCTCCGACAGCTAGATTCCATCCTCTTTTCTAAAGGTGGGGTAGAGACTTCCAGCAACTCCAGCAGCAAAGGTAAGATATTAAAAGGAAGGTGTGTTTTTGTTGGATTTTTGATGAGTCATAGTTTAGTGAATCATTTGTAATAGATTTAAAAGACACTGGAGAGATAGTTGAATGCTAATTTAACTTTTTGAAAGTAAAAAAAACAATAATCAGTTTACTTTTTTTTGTTCAGTGAAGATACACACAGTGTATACATAACCTGGTAGGTCTATGATGAGATTTTTGAGGATATCGAATGGTAAAGAATATTTAGATTGTTCCAAAGTTGGCTCAAATATCTGTCTGTGTGGGACTCCATGACGTTTGTCATATTTATCACACACTGCCAAAAAAGGCAAGCGATCATTTACTGTAATTTCCGGACTATTGAGCGCACCTGAGTGTAAGCCGCGCCCACTAAATAAAAAAAAACAACAACACCTTTTATACATAACTAGGCCGCACAGGTGTCCACGTTGTAACACAAGACATTTACGCAAACATTTTTTTAAACAAGATTTGATTTTAACAAAGAGTGATGACAACAGTGGACAACAATGACAACAATAGAGAATCATAAAGGATGCGTACAATTTTTATTTTTTTTTAACAAGTGCAAATGAAATGGCAATTAAAAAGGAAAAGTAGCAAAAAAAAAAAACAGCTAGTGTAGAAAATTAAAAACAAGAGCATGTCTGTGTTGGTTTTTGCCAGGAACTTAAAAGATGTTTGAAGTCACTTAGAGAGGTCAAGGTCGAGAGCTTCAGATCTTTTTGTAAGATATTCCAAGAAACCGGAGCAGAGTAGGCGAAGGCCCTTTTGCCAAGTTCAGTCCTCACTGAGGGAACACTGCAGGTAATAATGTCCTGAGAGCGCACGCTGTAGCTGCACTCACGCAGAGACATGTAGGACGAGATGTATGAAGGTACATGATGAAAATGTACCAGTGAGAGAGTCTGCGTGAAGTTAATGATGTCCAGTTAACCAGTGAATACTGGGTGTAGTGGTGGATACAGTAGTTACAGCCAGTTATGAATCTTAGTGCACCATGATAGACAGCATCCAACATCTGCAGGGTGCTTGTAGGAGCGTTCATGTAAATAATATCACCATAGTCAATGGAGGGAAATAATTAAATTAAAATTTAATTAATTTAATTTACTAATTTAATTTAATTATTATTTATTTAATTAATTTTAATTTAATTTAATTAAATACTGTAGCGTGGCAGCACACAGCTACACAGAGAGGTGCAGCTCTTGTAGTAGATCAAGAATCAACCACCAAATGTTTTATGGTCTTTATTTTACTGATCAACACACAGACAGAGTGAACCCCACAGGTCGTCAACTACCTCCCTCACTCATGGTTACTCATGAACACATAACTAGGCTAACAAGAACAGACTAATCACTAAAAGAATAATGCTAAACAGCTAACTAAAATGATTAACAGTGAACAAAAATTGTACCCTTAATCCCTCCAAGAGGTCATGTGACCGACAGTCAACCACAGCAGAATGCTACAATATGTACCAGTAATACACAATTACACAGTAAATTTTTGTTTCTGCACAGTGCCTGTAACACGGCTGGTTAAAATAAAATTACAGACGGGGATGGCGGAGTTTTGTTCTCTTCCCCCCCCCTCTGTGACCTGTTCGGTAATTTCAATTGTCATATTTGTTTTTACCTTTATGTATACAAGTAGTCTCAGTGAGTAAATGAGACCCCCCCCCCCCCTCCCCCAAGAGAGACATATATTTGGCAGCTATGTGAGCCCCCGGGTGTGACGAGGCTAATGTTTTGGTGGCATGAAGCTCGTTAGCCCGTCAAATAAACAAAATAGAACGATAAATTAGCCGCAGCATTGTATAAGCCCCGGTTTCCAAAGCGTGTGAAAAAACTAGCGGCTTATAGTCTGGAAATTACGGTAATTCACTTTGTCCATATGTGCTTGTTAGCAAAAACTCACGAACCACTGAAACACTTACTGTATTTTTCGGACTATAAGGTGCATTAAGCAAAACTAAAACATTTTGACAGATTTTTGAGCGCCGTGTACCACATAAAGTGAGTTCGAGGTCAGTAAGCACAACCAGAATTAATACATAAAGCGCACCGGATTATAAGGCTCACTGTTGATTTTTGAGAACATTAAAGAATTTTAAGTGCACTTATAGTCTGAAGAATACGGTAATATAAAAATGTCTACAAAACAGTCAATGGTACAGATGAGCTAAAAATGATATTGTAGAAGCTGAATCCCATACCTATCATTTGCACCAGTACTAACAAATTGAGCAAGATCTTTGTGTAAAACTTTGGCAATAACTGATGGAGTCAACCTTGTCTGTCTGTTAGCAAAATATCTCACAAACAAGAGGACAGAGTTTAAGGAAACTGTCAGAATGTATTCATTGGATATACATCTATGTACAAATGATTAACTTTTGAAGTCACCAAGAGTTAGGGTGGTCACCACAACGAATGAGCCATAGAAAACACCAAACTGGTTATAAATCATTCACTTTTATAGATCTTGCACTAACATTTGGTGTGGTAGTAGCTAAAACTAACCAGAAACATTTGTTCCAAGCCCTAAAAGACTGCGCAAGAATTTAGTTTAAAATTGCCAACCACATTGCAGTTGTTCAGAGAATTTTAGAAAGTTACTCCTGAATATGCATTTACTACTTGGAGTCAGTCCAGTTAAAGATGGCTGCCACAGTGAATTAACATTAGCCAACACAAAAAATGGCTGTTTTTCACACAGTGTTTAAACATTGAGCTAACATTGCATGTGGCAGTAGCTGAGTCATTACAACACATACTCTGAGCATGAGATCTTCTGATCTTACGAGATTGCACATGACCTTATTTTCAAGGTTTACCAAAACCACTACAACTCAGTCATTCCTCAGTATTAGATGATCTTAGTTTAAAACTCTGGATTGGAAGGCAGTGGGTGATATGCATTATTTTAAGTAATGCTAGGTTAAAGCTCTTTGTATATAATAGCTGTTCGGGTAATTGAGTCACTGCTTTACAGAACATTAGTAAGCAACTTCTGTGGATTTTAAATCGGCTGTAAAGAGAAAAAAAATCTTATTTAAGTATTCTAAACCACATTTAATGAGAGGATGTTAAATAGGCTGTAAAAAAAAACAAGCTAACAGAATGTTAAATGTACTGAAGGAAAAACATTATTACCAAAACAGAAATCATCTAGAGACATTGCATTTCTTGTGAAAATTCAATGTGAATGCTTTATTGCAAAAGTACTTGCTGAAAAACAGCTGAAATTAGCTAAAAACATGCTGAAATGTAGCTTAAATTAAAGAATAAGCCTAAATTAGCAGAAGAAAGCAGAAAAAAACTATTAGCAGAAGAAGGTTTAAATTAGCAGAAATCAGCACAAAATTAGGAAATCAGCTAAAGAAAGCTGAAATTAGCAACAAAAAAAAAAAACGACTGAAAGGTAGCTGAAAGGGCAGAAAGAAGCTTAACCTACAAGAAGGAAGTGAAAAGTGATAAAATGAGCAAAAATAATGTGGAATTAGATGAAAAAGCTAAAATTTGCATAAAATAGCTAAATAGTAGCTGAAATAGCCTAAAGAGCTCAAACTAGCAGAAAACAGCTGAAATTAGCAGAAGTTGATTAGGCTGAAAGTAGCAGAAATTACCAATAAAAACTTGATTTAAAAAAAAAAAAACTGCTGAAATTAGCTAAAAACGCTAAAAAGATAGAACAAGCTTAAATTGGTAGAAGAAAGCAGAAAGAACATATTTGCCCAATTAGGCTGAAAGAAACAGAAATTAGCACAAAAGGTGGAAATTATCTGAAAATAGCTAAAATTAGAAGAAGAAAAAACTGAAAATAGCTTAAAAAAAAAAAAAAAAAGCTGATGGAAGCTTAAATTACCAGAAGGAAGTGGAGAGAGCACATTTTTGCTGAATTGAACTGAAAAAATATGAAATGAGTGCAAAAAATGTGGAATAAGCTGAAAAATCTCAAATTAACATAAAAAAGCTAAATAGTAGCTGAAATAACAGAAAAAGTTGAAACTAGCAGAAAAAAGCTGAAAGGAGCATAACGAGCTGATTTTAGCAGAAAAAAGTTAGAAGCACAAAAATGTTGTACAGTAGTTAGCAGAAAGGAGCTGAAAGGAGCTGAAAGGAGCATAAAACAGCTGAACAAAATACTGAAAGTAGCTGTAAAAAGTTGAACCCGAAGAAAATGTGAAAGGAGCAGTAAAATGTTGTAAACAGATCTAAAGATTTGAAGGATGTAAAATGAACTCAATTCATTTTCTATGAGGAAAAAAGTGGCAGAAAAGGCTAAATATTTCAAAAAGCTAAAGTTGCACCAATACCAAAAGTCATAGCACCCTTCTCCTGGACGAGCTGAATGTTTCGATACACGATTTGTTGAAATAGCCCAAAAATTGTGGATCGAGAAAGATGCTAAAAAACATACAAAAGAAAAACGGATCACAACAGTGTGAATGCTTCATAAACATTCACACAGTTTATAATGTTACAGTACAGAGATCTGTTCAGACATGTGGTGCTCTGTAAGGTGCTGATCTGTTTAATTGAAACATGAGCGTGTATCACGGATGATTGTCTGCTTTATCAATAGTGAGCGCTCCTGCTGTGCTGCTGCGTTTTATCTCTTTACCACCCTGCAGTTAAATGTCAGACTCATTATTTCTGCACTGTGTGAGTGCTGTGTTTCAGCGCCGCACGTTAGCTTTCATCTTTTCTTATCTGTCTATACCAGACTCGCAAGATCACCTCTCAGAGGAGGAGGACGGCTCGGGTAACTCCTGCACCATTGGCTCAGAGATCTACTTGGATGTCAGTTACCTTCATTACCTCTATGATGCCCGGCTTAGTATCAGCAGCTGCATACGGGCCTGCCGGGTCTGGTCGGCCCGTTATGATGGCGAGGACCCTCCTCCTGAGAAGTACCAGCCGGGCGTCCTCGAGGAGCCGGGGCTCGAAAGTCAACACACCAAAACAGCTCTGATGAAAGGCCCGCAGCTGCGGCCTTTGCTGAATGCTCGACCCAGCTTCCTGCCGAGTCGAGACCCACACTCAATCGCCCAGCCGGAGCTGGAATGGGATGATAGTTATGACGTGTGTCCGGTGCAGACAGCCGAGACTCCTGTAGAGGGAAAACTTCCTCATCTGCTACTGTCCGAGCCCCCAAAACACATCCAGGAAATGAGGAGGACTGCTATCATGCTGGTGAAAGGTTCATACATCGAGGAGAACGAGTTCCAAGATGATGTCATGGTGTATGATCTCGTTGCAAAAAAGGACAGCTCGGAGGTCGAGCGCACGAACAGTAAATCAAGAGGTTCACCATCAGAGGAGGCTCAGCCAGGACCAGCAGATGTTCCCCTAAAAAGTGTGCTCAGTCTAACCCTCCCCACGTCTGTGATGACCGACGATGACAAAAAGGCAAAGGTCAAAGTTCAGACAAATTGTAATGGAAACCTTCAAAACACAACTCCTGTTGAGATGGGAGTTGATTTTTTAGCTCAGTATGAGGAGCTCATTCGTACTCTGGACACTGAATCAGGTGGGAAACAGGTCAAAGGTGATGGAGAGTCGAAAACACCTGCCACATCTGTAAAGAATCAGAAGGAAGAGGAGGAGGAGATGATAGACTTCAGTTCGTTTGCTGTGGAAACACCAGAGCCAGAGAAGGTGCACTCCCCGTTGGGGACAATTCAAAGGATTTGCAGTGGAAGTTCTACCAGATGTTACTCAGTGCCTTTTACAGGTGAAGGGTTTAAACAGACTGCATTGTGTTTCTTTGTGGAAAATATTTGTGTACCAATTTAAATATTTTGAAAAGTTTACAATGACACAAACTAAGTATACATATAGCACCCAAAACTGGATTTTCTTTCAGCTGCTCCCTTCTTCAGTGGTTGCCACAGTGAGCTAACTTTCATGAAAACTTGCATGTTTGAGGGCCTTGGTCAAGGGCCCATAGTGGGGCAAATGAGGGTGGAGGCAGATGTGGGTGTTTTTTTTTTATATATGTTGGTGCTTAGAAGTCTGTGAAGCCTTTCTAATTTTCTATATTTCTACATAAATATGACCTAAAACATCATCAGATGTTTGCACAAGTCCTAAAAGTAGATAAAGAGAACCCAGTTAAACAAATGAGACAAAAATATTATACTTTATTTATTTATTGAGGAAAATGATACAATATTACATATCTGTGAGTGGTAAAAGTATGTGAACCTCTAGGATTAGCAGTTAGATTAGCAGAAGGTGAAGTTAGCGTCAGGTGTTTTCAATCAATGGATGATGATCAGGTCACACAGGTGTGCACTCTGTGGACTCCACCAAACCACAGTCACACAGATTGTGTACAAATAGACCATTGTTACTCTGCCCAGGAGTGGTGGACCAACAACAATGGTGTGCATGGCAGGTTGAAGGAGGAAGCCACTGCTCTCCAAGAAGAACATTGCTGCTCGTCTGCAGTTTGCTAATGATCACGTGGACAAACCAGAAGACTGTTGGAAGAATGTTTTGTGGACAGATGAGACCAAAATAGATTTTTGGTTTAAATGAAAAGCGTTATGTTTGTAGGGAGGAAAACTGCATTCCTGCATAAGAAGCTTATCCCATCTGTGAAAGATGGTGGTGGTAGTATCAGGGTTTGGGCCTGTTTTGCTGCATCTGGGTCAGGACGGCTTGTCATCGTTGATGGAACAATGAATTCTGAATTATATCAGAAAATTATAGTGGAAAATGTCAGAACATCTGTCCATGAACTGAATCTCAAGAGAAGGTGGGTCATGCAGTAGCACAATGACCCACAAGTTGTTCTACCAAAGAATGGTTCAAGAAGAATAAAGTTCATGTTTTGGAATGGCCAATTCAAAGTTCTGAACTTAATCCAGATGTTGTGGAAAGACCGGAAGCAGCAGTTAATGTGAGGAAACCACCAACATCCAAAGTTGAAGCTGTTCTGTACAGAGGAATGGGCTAAAGTTTTATTTATTTATAAATTTGTTCATTTTTTAAATACAAAACAAAACAATATACAGTAAGAGATACAATCACAAATAAAATGAAAGGCAGCAGAAAGAAGAAAAAAATCTTACAATATCTGCCCCTTTTTACCCCCCCCCCAAAAAAAATTAATTCAAACAATAATAATCTTCAAATAACAAAACCAAAATAAACAACTCCTTCTTGAGCAATTCATACAAATACACATTAAGCTATTTCATAATTTTTAACAAACCAACATTGATCCTTTTCTTAAACATAGAGATTGATCTGGCATTTTTAACATCATTCTCCAGATTATTCCATAATCTTAATTCCTTGGATTGAGGTAGACCGTTCCTTCAGACTAGTTCGAAATTTAGGTTTCACAAAGATTTCCATCCTCTTAAGATTATAACAACTTTCTCTTTTAACAAAGTTTAATTGGATATTTAAAGGTAATGTGTTATTTTGAGCCCTATACATAACTGATAAAATACTATAATCTACCAAATCATGGAACTTCAGTAACTTCAGTTGATAAAATAAAGTACTTGATGGGTGACTGTAATGCTTTCTAGTAATAATTCTTACAGCCCTTTCTGGAAAACAAAAATAGGATTTGTAAATGTTTTACATGCTTTCCCCCAAACATCAATACAATAGATTAAGTGTGGAACGATTATTGCGTGATACAACATAAACAGAGCCTTATCATTTAATAATTCCCTTACTTTGTACAGTACTGCAATACATTTAGCTTTTTTTATTCTTACATAATTTATATGAAGTTTCCACGTTAGCTTTTCATCAATAACACCCAAAAACTTCACCTCACTAACTCTACAAATTTCAACACCCTCAACTCTAAATGGAACATCGACACTGCTCTGTCTATTACTGAATATCATATAGTTAGTTTTATCTAGGTTTAATGATAATTTATTAAGTTTAAACCAAGTTTGTATTTTTATAAATTCTGTCTGCATCAACTCCAACATCCATTCTATATCTTTACCCAAACAAAAAAAAAAGTGGTATCATCTGCAAATAGAACACATTTGAGGAGTCCTGACACATTTACCAAGTCATTCACATATAAAATAAATAACTTTGGTCCAAGTACAGAACCTTGAGGAACTCCACATGTGATATTACAGAGGTCAGATCTTACATCATTTATTTGTACAAACTGTTTCCTATCTTTCAAATAGCTAGATACCCACTGTAGTGCTGGTCCTCTTATACCATATTTATTCAGTTTTTCAAGGAGAATAATGTGGTCAATAGTATCGAGTGCTTTATTTAAATCAACAAAAATACTAACACAATATTGTTTTTGATCATCCGCAGTTGTTCTATCAATTCCATGAGAGCCATTGATGTAGAGTTTTTTGCTCTGAACCCATACTGACTGTTACTTAGAATATTTTGTTTAGCAATAAATTGATTTAATCTGGTCACAAATAATTTTTCTAAAATTTTTGAGAACTGTGGTAACAAGGATATTGGTGTATAATTATTGAACACACATTTCTCACCATTCTTAAAAAAAGGAATTACCTTAGCTACTTTCATATTGTCTGGAAATATTCCTGT